CTTACATTCCAGTAACAAATGTGAATGTACTGATACGGCTTCCTTTCGACGAAATCGTAATAGGTGTTCATCTTTTCCAACGGAGGCCTTTCTTCTGAAATAGCAAGATTCAGAAGGATGAAAAGACAATAAAGACCTCAAGTGTTTCCATCGCCAGTCCGTCCTTACTAACGAGTTGTGGCTATCACAGTGCACATCTACCTGGCTCTCCGAGGTGGCTAGCTCAAATACGCATTCAAACGCTTCTATGACTCCGGATGGCAGTCGAAAACGTAGCGCATTCCGAACCGAGATTAGTCTGATTTGGAATTTTTGTCATTGAAACCTCATAATGATTTTTATGAATCTAAGGAGAACAGAAGAACGATGAGGCTCGGAGGGAGGTAACAATTTTGAAAGGAAAGGGATGTAGGGATCCGCACGAATGGAGGTGGGGGAGGTGAGGTGAGCTATCCAAAAATGCATCAATAAATTTTACTATGATTCATTAGGCACCTGGCTACCGTTGACAATTATAAACTCATTTGAGAGTCCATCTCAACTACTGACCAATGCCTACAGTTTCTTCCACCCACAATGGTTACCCAATCCAAGACTAGGGCGTAGAAAGCTCTTACCGGTAAATTTTTCTCGTTTACATCGCAGTAAACAAAGAGCTCGCTCGGATTGTGCATGTTTTTGTGACAATGAATCAACGTCCGGTGCTTCCACTTGGCCACCACATTTCCGCCGACACCATACCAGTTCATCCTCAAAGTACCTTAAATGGTTAGAAAAGTATACAAGTACAATCACCAATTCAAACTTTATGCGCCATGCACTAGTGCGTCATTTAGTCTTGTAGGAGTCGTGGATGGTATTTCATTGAGGAACCGGCAGAAACGTCACCCCTCCCACGAAAATCAACGGATGCGGTCCTTGAACAGACTCCTAGGTGAGAGACGGTTCCTCGTAAAAAACAGTCATATCACAACCTTACCAAATACCTAAGGCGCATTTCCAAGTTCACAACAGAGCTTATATGGAGCAAAGGGTTACTGTCGCGCAATAAACAGTAACGGCTGTAGGTTCAATTCCTATTGAAGATACCCTCTATGAGGTGATTGTTCTGAGATTAACTTGATACAACTTCAAGGTCACCAGAAAACGCAGTAATTATCATAAATATGTAGTTGTAGATTGACCTTACAAGCATATGCAGTTTTGGACGACAGTTGAGAACATGGCGCAAACCAAAAAGGTTACGTTCAAGGGTAACAGAGCTTCTGTTTGACTGTAACGTATCAAGGGATAGATCCCAATGAACATTTTCACCTTCAAATTTGGCTTAAGATAGAAAATGGGAAAAGTCATAAACCAAAAATCTCGAAGATATATTACGAAGCTAAAATCATCAGTAGCAATGGTGCTTTCCATAATTCAAACAGGTAAGTGACAGAATAAAACTTACTGAAAATCATCAATCGCTCGTCTCATAAATGCCACACAATCTGGCCAATTCTTATCCGTATACTCCCATTTTCCATACTGATAGAGTTGCTCGAATGTTAACTTCGGATCATCAGGAGTACTACTAACCGGTCGATCGATAATAGTCGAATAGGTGAGCAATAGCCAGTACAGAAATGTGCCGGCCATGCCAGACGATGACTATGGCGACGGCGTTGTTGGTGGTGGAAGTAGTGTAAGCTTCGAGAAATGGCGTAGAGTGTACGAACGCGAAGAGCAGAGGGCCAGGCGTGGCCCTTTGCCAGACATCCTCCCTCCCTCTGCCTGTCCTTGCCGGCTGACCTCTCCAAGTGTCCGAAAGCTGTTGGCGTTCGACCTTTAAGCCGTATGAGATTCTCTTTGGGAAGAAAAAGGTGAAAAGACGAACTGAAGATCGAGCGGAATTGTGTAGGATCTGCTATAATCTGGTCCTTGCAGGGTACGCCATGCATGTGAATATTATTGATGATCGCACCAATATTGGAACAGATCTACAGTTTCTGCCTAGCACTTGATGATTCTATTAGGTTCCAGGATTAACCCGTGTGGTTTTTGCTTCACCTCATTCTCTAGGATTGCCCATTTTACTGGAGCACGATACCTCAATGCACAATCCTCTGAATGCCGCCAGCCAATAAATCGTGACGGGTAGAGGTCGCCCCGACTGATGGTATCACAAAAGTTCAGTGAAGCTGACAGGCCTGCGTGAATGCTGATTATTGAAAGCCCGTTCTGCGTCCCGCTTCCCTTCCCCACCCCTCACCCATCTCCTTATTGTCTCCACTGTGAGAGTGAACCCTGAAGACGACATTGAAAAAAGCTATTAATCACTGGTAAGGGATTATATGACGGAACGACCCTCACTACTCAGCTCCCCTCTTGTCAGAAGTGAAAAGGACAGGTGGTATTCTTTTTGTCTTATCGTTATAAGCGATTTTGCAATATCGAAATTTCACGCCTTCAACAACTTCCGTCGGCAGTTATGACTCCAACAAGAACGAAATTTCTACAAAGTACTTTATTAAGAGAGTTACACACAATTCATCAGATGATAGTTACATGTTGTGCAACCTCGCATCGAGGATCTTCAGCTCTAACCTATCTGCTCAACTCTAACTCATAGTTTATAGATACCGTAACCATGGATCCGTTTCCGTAAATTTACACAAATGATGCATTTTTCTTACATCAATCCCGTCGACTATGCGAATTCGTAACCAAAAACAGTCGCTCCGCGCGCACGCTCAGATTAAAGTAGCACAGAAGACAGAGTAAGAAGCTTCCCCAAACACCTGAGAAAGATCCGCAGGTATGACAGTGTGTATGGGAAAACTGGGGAAAAGTACAAATTATTAATTGTTTACCAGGTAGACCAAGTAGCGTTGGAAAAATAGACAAAATAGACAATACAATGACCCAGTGTCGGTGAAAAATAGTCTTCCTACGATGATAAAGCCTAACTAGTGTGGTTGTGGGACATGCCCATCCACATAGAAGTTTCGGGTAATCGGTGGCAGTGTTAAGACGATTCCATCGAGGTCCTTCCGTAAAATTATCTGACATCCAAGGCGAGAGTTAGGGCGTAGAGCTGGAGCCTGAAATCGTTTTGACACTTCGTGTATAAAAACCAATGAATATATCGCTTTCATAATTCCCCTTGCTCTGAGACCACTTGGATTGCTCTCTTCAGAACAACAAAGAAAAGGAAAATAAGTATCTCAGACTGCAAGCAATAGCAATGGCTTTTTCTCAAGAGCTCTCTCAAACCCACAAATACCTGATCTAACATATCTTCTTCCTCTTCTTTTGGCTCAGTTAGTCGATCGAAATAGGGATCGCCAACGTAACAGTGGCATGTGGAGCAGGCCAGAGAAGCCTCACAAGCGCCTTCCATTTCAATGTCATATCTGAAAATGTCAGCATCGCCAAAGTACTCACCGAAAGGGTCAAGTCCAAAGATCGTGATCAGTATTTTCTTTGAAAATTAGTAATGATTGCAAACTGTAAAGTGATAAACAACATGTTGTGAAGCTCTTGTCAAAGATGAGGAGCGAATTCAGGACGATACAAAGT